TATTAAAGGCAAATAAAAATTTATAGAATTTTTATAAAAATAATCATTGCACATATATATGAAATTCTGATATTTTATTTAGGTATAAATATCAGGGATGTGAACCCTTCGACAAAAAAAGGGTCAGGTTTGGGTATAGTAATAAAATTTAAAAAGGGTCCGGATTCGGGTTTAGGGAACATAATAAATGACTCAAAACAAGACTTTTTTCATTCATTTATTATTATACTTCAATATCATATTCATAATTTACAAATAAAAAATTTAAAAATGAAATAATTTATGTTTTAAATGTTTTACTCAATCGCACATTCATAATATCTTCTAAAATATCATCCTTGAGATTTCTACGTAAATTAGACAATATAATTTTCAAAGATGAAAAACTACGTTCTACGGTTACCTAAGATAGTTATCTTTATAATAATAAATTTATTGTACTTGTATGGCGGTACAGCCATGATGATTCTAGACAAGATATTCAATATCTGGATATATTGAAGAATTTTCTTCCCAGAATTCTAAAATATTTGTATCCTTATTTATCCTCTTAGCTTCTTAGATTTTTTCTATTAAATATGCAATAGGCATTTTTTTGATCCTCCTTTCTATCTGATGATAATTTGATTTTTTTTTCTCTATCTAAAAGTAAAATCTCAAGATCATCAATGTTTCTTATATTATCACTATCATCACTACAACAAGTAGGTATAGTCGTACCATGGACGAAGCGTCCTTACAAAATTCTTAGATAAACTTAATATAATCTTTATACTATGCTAAAAAAAAATAAAATTACTTCCTTAAAATAATTAATATATTTTTTATAACGTTAAAAAGATTTATAATATTTTACTACGATAAAAAATTTACGTTAAAAAATTTACTATTATTTTTACTACGTTCAAATTTACTATTATTTTTACTACGTAAAAAAATTTACTATTATATTTACTATGTTAAAAAATGATGGAAGCAAATTTAATATTGCTTATTTTCCTATAATAAATATACTAATAAATCATGATTCATACGATATTTTTTTGGTGTAATTTTTTTTTTACGTTAAAAAAAATATACAAGAGGGAAGCAAATCTAATATTGCTTATTTTTTCAATAAATAAATAGAAAATCATGTTATGATATTGTTTAATTTTACGATTAAAAAATAAGCATTGGGGAAGCAAATAAAAAATTGCTTATTCTTTTATAAAAGAAAAAGAAATTTTTTATATTAAATTTTTTTTCTTACTTTTTTTAAAAAAAATTTTTTTTCTATAAATTAATGTTTAATAATTGTAATTGTGTTATTGAAAATTTATTAATATTATCATTTAGCTCAAGAAATTTTGATACCAAAAAATTAATTATTGAAAAAGGAAGACCAAAGCCAATTTTAAGAAATTCAAAAAAAGAAATAAAATCTTGCATTCGTAATTTTTCTATCGATAAATATGATAAATATGAATGGCTCACTGGATGTGAATTTTTTAATTCTCTATATTGTTGGTCATGCTTATTATTCCCAAAGGAAAAATATGTTTGGAATGATAGAGGATTTTTGGATATGAATAATTTTTCAAAGGCAGTTAAATGACATGAAGAATCAACAGCTCATTTGCAGTCGATGATTCAATTAAAAACATTTGGCGAAATTCGTATTGAAAATATGATAGATTCGATGCGCAAAATATCAATCGAACAGCATAATTCGAAAGTTAAATCAAATAGAGAAATATTGAAAATTTTAATCAATTCTATGTTTTCTTGGAGTTCAGCAGCTCGCATTCCGTGGTGATGATGAATCACCTAATTCAGTAAATAGAGGAAATTATATTGAATTAATTTATTTGCTCGCGGAAGAAAATTTGCTATTAAAACATCATTTAGAAAATAGTACAACTTTTATTGGACTATCAAGTGATATCCAAAATGATTTAATTAATTCCATTTCATATGTCTTACACCAAAAAATATTAGATGAATTGGAAGAAACGGAATTTATAACAATAATATTAGATGAAACAGATATAAATAATAAATCCCAACTGGCTGTAGTTCTTCGATATGTTTTAAATAACGGGACATTATATGAAAGATTTATTGAATTCTTTGATGTTACAATGCATCGTGATGCTAATTCTTTATCAAAATTTGTCATTAAATTTTTGAAAAAGAAAATTATGAAAAAATTGATAGGTCAAAGTTACGATGGCGCAGCTGTTATGTCAGGTGATTCACATGGACTGCAAGCAAAAATTAGAGACGTCAATCCTTCTGCACTTTATATTCATTGTTTTGCCCACAAGTTAAATCTTATATTATCAAAATCTTGCAGCAAAATTAAAGAATGTAAGGTTTTTTTGCAACTTTATCTGGTTTAGCCAGTTTTTTTAGTACATCATCTAAGCGTACAGCAGAATTTGATTAAAAAAAGATTACCACGAGTAGCCCCAACAAGATGGGAATACAATGGTCAGCTGGTTCAAACAGTTATAAATTATTTGAAGGATCTAGTCGTTTTTTTTGAAAGTATGATTGATAAAGAATCTGATATTGTTTGGGATAATGATGTTCTAATAACATCTCGTGGGTATTTAAATATATTAAATGATTCAAATTTTCTAATTTTGTTATATTTTTTTCAAGAATTTCCAGAATCTGATTTATTATTTGATATACTTCAAACTAAAATTAACGATGTATCATATTGTCTTAAAAGTATTAACGATTTCAGAAATTCAGTTAAATCTAACATAGAAAACTGATGTTTTTTGGAGAAATTTAAATGTAAAGGAAAATATTGAAGACAATTTAGATAAAAAACGTAATAGATCCGGATTGCCTAATACAAGAGAATTTTATAAAAATTTGATAATTAAAATAATAGATACTATAATCAATGAAATTGATTTTCGGTTTGATACATTAAAAAATATCAAATTCGTCGAATTGTTAGATATTAGTAAATTTCAAATATTTAATCAAAATTTCCCAAAATATTTATTAGACAATTTAAATGACACTTATTCTCAATTTTTCGACTTACACAAGCTGGAAACCGAATTAAAGGTAGTGTTTCGTGACGATGAATTTAGAAAGAGAAAAAATGTTTATGAAATACTTGAATTTTTAATTAATACCGATTTGATGAAAAGTTTTAAAGAGTTTTTTAAATTATGCAAATTCATTTTAACTTTGGCTGCAACAACAGCAAGTGCAGAACGGGGGTTTTCATCTTTAAAAATAATCAAATCTTATTGTAGAAACAGAATGAGTCAAAATCGATTATCGAATCTAGCTTCGATTTCTATTGAAAAAAAATTATTGAAAAATTTAAAATCTAGTAATAACTTTTATAATTCAGTACTTGATCATTTTACTCAAAAACAAAGACGAATTCCACTTATTTATAAATCTTAATTTTTTATGGTTTGACTAATAAATAAAATAAAAAATTTTTTTGATTGCTTCCCTAGTAGTAAACTTGACGCCTCGTCACTGAGTCGTAGCATTCAATATATTATAAATAATGGAGTTTTTCGTGTGCCATAAATCCTTAAGATGGTCTTTAGCCATTTGTTTTTGCTTAATACTCAATAAAACTTGATATCAAGGGTCTAAATACATAGAGGCATATACAACACTATTTTGCAAATATTGTTGCTCTCGAATTTTCATGTTTTCTAATATTCCATATGATAAAGACTAGTAAATCTTTCTAAATCTAATCGGCATCGAATCCATATGCCATAAAAATCAGGTAAACATAATTGTTCAGATTGTAATCTTAATGTTGTTACTTTTAAAGTAACTAATACACTAGTAAGGCCCTTTATTTGGCACCAATCATCTTCCGACAAAATGACTTCACATGCTCCTATAATAAAATCAGTGACCTACAGGGGTACCATTTGTACGGCTCGGCCCGGATTCTTTTTCAACAATTTTTTCCGGCCCGGGTTTATTTTTTAAAAAAATTTTCAGACCCGGCCTGGATTTTTTTAAAATATATTTTATTTATTTTTGATTTTTACAGCTAATGGCGATTTCAAATATTTGGTTTTAAAATATACGGCCCAGCCCGGAGAAATTTAAAAAAATTAAAATATGGTCCGGCCCGGCAGGTCTCTGAATAAAATCATTACAAAAATCTTTCAAACTTTTTATCGTTCTAACATCAAATAAATTGAGGATCAACGTGTTGTGCAATCTAATATTATCATTGACCATTTCATTGATTTTAATATTCTTACAATTGTGGGAGTTCTTAAATATTTTGCAACACACCTTGCTTTATCAATAGTTTTAAAGTGATTATTTTTTAGGCAATCATTAATAGACAATTGTAGAGCCAATATTATTACCTACAAAATAATTTATGATATCAATCTCTAAATAAAATGAAAATCCAGGAAAAAAATTGAAAGAAAAACGTGAAGATAAAATAAATGATTCCACGAAAAAAAGTGATTAAATTTAAAAAATTTATATAATTTTTTATTTTTGAATTTTTTTTATGACACCTAGAAACCTTAGACCCTACACTTTTAAAAAGGGTCGGGGTTCGGGTACAGCTAAAATACGAGGGTTCAGGTTACGGGTTCGGGTTTACATCCCTGATAAATATATTCTATTCTCCGAATTTTTTTTTCAATGCAATCATATTTTTATATAAATTGTATTTATCTTTTTAAATACAATTGATTAAGATTTGTAAATCGTGATTTTTTCTATATAAAATATTTAAAAAAATGATGCGTTATAAATGATTTATAAAGTAACTCATAATGTAATTAGTTACTTTTGAAATAGAACTGTATAACTAGTTACATATAAAAATATGTAACTAGATTGTGATTAGTTACCTTTTCATGAATGTAACTATAACTAGTTAAGTTTCAAAAGTAAATTTTAACAACACCAATAATTACACATATTGAGTAATTTATTTAACAACAAATCACATTATAAGATACAATTATAGATTTTGTGTTGTCACTTTATTTAGATTATATAATTTAATCATTGGATATAGACTTCCAAAAATTTGGATTAATTTTGATTTTGTTCATAAAATTTTTGTACCATTGTTCCAATGCGGATGTAGGAAAATAGGTAGATCTACCATCTTTACTAATTGTAGCAATATTCAAATTATCAGTGTTTTGGGGGTCAAATGTTTGAAGTGATAATGCATTTTTTATACTTTCACCACTTGCAGCAAAAGATGAGGCATAGTGATAAAAATTTTGTAACATTTTTACACAATATTCCACTTTTTCATCATTGTTTGGTGTGTGATTTTGACTAAGTTGCATAATTGCAGAATTATTTATCTGAGGATGGTGCAGTTGCTCTAGACTAAGAATATTGGTCAGTGAGTCTATGGAAATACCTACTTGAGCTGGTTTGTGTTGTGGTAAAGATGATGTAAATGAACTTGTAATTTTGGCTACATAATAAAATTATTAGCTAATTTAAGATTCAGAAATATTTTTAAAAAATAAAACTATAAAATTTACATTTATCGGATATTTTAAATATTGCACTTGGCTTTTCATTTGATAAATAACCAATATATTTCCATTGCAAATTTGGTTCTAAACTGTCCTGGGATACATGGAAAAAAACTAAAAATAAATATAAGTTAAATATATACAAATAAAATATATCTAATACTTACCAGACCCTCCCATATTTTCAGGAAATGCAATCTCTCCAGTTAAAAAGACAACAATATGATTTATAGTACTTGCATCAGTTATATTAAATAAAATTTGAGTGTCGCTTACCTTTTCAAAATTTGTTTGAGCCTTAAACATATATTTTTAAAATAATTTTTATTTTTGTCTAAAATAATGTCTTTAACAGAAAGTTGGACATAAACATTTTTTAATTATCGAGCTGGGCTCGGGTTTAATTTTTCTTAATAGGACTAAACCAGGTATAAATAATATTTCAAAAAAAAATAATAAAATAGAAAATGGTGTTTTCGTATTTTTTTAAAAATTATAATTTGTCTGGGAATAGAAGCAACTGATAATTTTTATTTTATTTAACCTCATAAACAGTGTGCATCCAGGATTTTATTTTGGAACCTGCCCTGCTATCTGGCACTCCATTTGGCCAATAATAGTCGTAAGAGATCAATAAATTTGAGCATTTTTGCGAATACTAAACTACTTTTCTTCTAACTGACTAAATTAATAAAATTTTGATCCTTATCTCTAAACAGTTATCTGTTTACCCGTCTATATAGCTTCCTCTAAACAGCCTAAAAAAGATAGAGGCTATTCAGATTTACCTCGTATTTACTTTTTTTTACCGAAAAAATATTTAAGTGGTAGATAATATTTATTTAATGTACAACCTTAAATAGTGTCATAAGTTCAAAATTTATTTGTTTACCCTGAACTAAACTGAAATAAATTTCAAAAATATGAAAAACCAGGACATGGCCTGACAACTAAATAAACTTAATATTTACTTAAGTTTAAATTTAGCTTAACTCACAATTATTGTTTAATCAAATCAACAAAATTGAAATATTTGATTACATTTTATTTATATACTATTTTAGTTTTTCATCGTTTTATAGTTAACAATAAGATCATAATGGTGGCGATAACCAGGGCAGGCGTGTTAATCCTTTCAAATTTATTTCCAAGCCTTCATAACATAAGATTGGAAATTTGAATCGAATACATGCTAATTGTGCCATATCAAAAATATTTATCCTTTTAAATTTTACCGTGTTTAAACTGACAATTCATTCATTTAAATGTGAAACAAATCGTCTGGTGTCACGCCATTTTGGTCACCCTATATAAAAAAATTATGTTAAAATTTTATGAAAACATTTTTAAAAAATAATTTCTATGAGAACTTAAAATGGCGTGCAATCAGCTGACTTGTATCAATGACGCTTCAAAAGACATTTTAATACATGAATATTAAATCTAAGTATTATACATTATTGGTTTAGCATACCAAAAAAATAAATGAAAAACTTTCATCGTTTGATATTTATAAATAAGACTCTTAAAATCTAGGCAAACGAATAAAATTAAAATTACTTTGATAATATTGAATAAATAATATCTTATTTTTATTCCAATATTTACTTTTATGCTATACATAAAGATAATTCATTAAAAAATTATACACAGTATTAATTTTTCCGAAAAATATTTTTGGGAAAGGATGAGTTAATTCTGGAAATATGAACTTTTCCATGAGGCGCTTTTGAAGTGCAAAATATAAATTATTTTAAAATATAAAAATGTATAATTACAATTACTTTATTGATAAACATAAACCATAATGGAAAATAAATATAAAAAGTTAGTGAAATTTTGTGATAAAAGTTAAAATTAGATCCATGTGCTTAAAAAGAAAATTTAAGTGGGACAAAGGCACATGAACATATTATGCATTTATTAGATAATTGTATAATATAGTTTCATGCTAATTCTTGAATATTTGTCTTTATGTAGGCAATTTCAAATCTTGTTTTTTTGATATTGATTTATATCTATTTAATTTTGCATACCTAAGTCTGTTTTCTTCATAATGGTGAAGAAGGACATATTTTCATAATATATATTCATGATGCTTCCTTTTTCTAATATAGTTTCTTACCATATTCAAATTTCAATAAGCAAAATCAAATTTTAAAATGGCACTCAAAAAGCTCGCATGAACCTCTGAAAAGTAGTCCAAGACTCAATAGATTTAAATTTTATGGTAGTTTAATTGTCCAAATAAATAATAATTTTATATAAAATAGGGTTTAATCTTCTGTATAAGATAGTTATTGTATAATTAAACTTTTATTGTTTTTTATTTTTGATAAATTGCAGCATTTAAAAAAATTACTTTTGAGGGTATAAATCATATATTGTGTTATAAAATTTTGTGTGATCTGAAATTAGAAAAAAATTATAGCTGCCTATGCATATTGTACACATATTTGGTTAAAAAATTAACTATTAGAGTTGAATACTCTAAAAGAAAACACCAAGGCTAGCAAGAACCTTCGGTTCATAAGATTCCTGGTCTTCCCTACTCATTATAAACTTCTTTTTACAAAAATTTCTACAAAAATAGAACCTCATTTACTTAGTTGTATATATATTTATATTTTTCACAACCAGGGGGAAATTCCCCCCCCCCCCATCGCAAATTTGACTATTTTCATAAATATCATTTTAAGCTAATAAAAATTTTACCCCCACCCCCCAGACCCCCCCCCCCACCAATCAAAATTTTACAAATATTTGAATATCAATTTTCCAACATATTATTCAAAAATATTAATAAAATGTAAAAATATTTAGTCAAAGAGATTGAAATCAAACGATAATTTATAAATAAGGCTGAGCATGAAAAAAAGTAATGTGTCGTTAGCAGCGATATCATTATTGAATTCAATTGATCAATCAGAGTTTATCATTGCTGCTAGTTGCATCAATAAATTATTTTTAGCTCACTACTTTGTAGAAATTTACAAAAACCAAATTTAGATTTGGTTCAAGTTATTGATTTGGCGGAAAATATACATGAACAAAGAAACCTTGGCTCAATTTCCTAATATTTCGAAGTTGTTTTATATTCTTGCATGTTTGCCTATTACAACATGTACGAATGGAAAGACTTTTTCCAACTTGAGAAGGTTGAAAACATATTTACGAAGTACTCAATCTCAGCTAAATGGGTTAGCTCTGTTAAATATACACAGAGATTTGGTTCCAAAGACAAACGAAATAATTAAAAATCTTGTATTTGATAAGAAGTTTAAAAAAACTTGTTAATTTAATTATTTTCTAGTCAATATTTTAAACTACTATTAGTATTTTCAATAAAAAAAATTATATTCTACTTATATTGTATGAGAATTTAAGCTGAGGCTAGTTTTTAAAGCAAATTTTATAAAAAAAATGACATTACACTTTATTTCAACTTTACATATAAATAAACCTTTACATTTAAAAAAACTTAATTAAATATAATATACCTAACTTGAAATAATAAAAAAGAGGCTTGTAATATCCTATCTATAAGCACGAATTAGTAAATAATAGTTAAAAATAGAAATATAATTTAATAGAATAGCTAAATAAGACCCGGCCAAAGGCCAGGGGAAAGCTGGCCGAAAGCCAGGTAAAAGGGGTTTGGGGGAGAAGCCCCCAAAAATATATCACATTTCATTTTGGTGTTATTTCTAAAAATAATAAGAAAAACAAAATTATTTAAAATTGTTGTTCAATCTCATGAAAATGTAAAGTGACCTTACTTTATATATCAAAGGAAATAAAGTACCAATGTTTTACATGTTGGTGAGAAAAAAAGAGGATAATTTTTTTAAAGACTTTTCTAAATAGAAATTATAAATAAAATGAATGTGAAAGAGTTTTGCTAACCATGAACTAAAATCATAAAATTTGCTTGCATTTATTTTTTACTTTGGAAATTATTTAATTCCTAAAAAATATCACTGTTCATAAAAATGTTTGATTTAAAATTCAGAAAAAATCTAGGCATTGAGCTTAGTAGACATTAATAGAAATTTTAATGTAACCAGAATTAATAAATAATAAAAAAAAGAAGGCTTGGGTAGTGTTATTAAAATCTTGATTTTTTAAAGATCAGAATTAAGATTTTAGCCAAACAAAAAAAAGGAATTTAAAAGAATCTAACCTAAACAAATATGATTTCTCTAATTATATCTCAATTTATTAGCTCTCAAGAAAAGTTTAGTATCGTAACTACAAAATATTCATAAATTTACATAATTAGAAAATACTTCTAACATATTTATTTTTAAAAAATGAAATATATAAGTTCAACAATATGGAATTATATAAAAAAGAAAGAATAGGTTAAAAATATATGTCTATATTTTTAGAATTTTATTTGAATGTTATCATTATCCTTATAAATTTTTTATTTACCAATCTTCCCGCAACTATAATTGCGAACATATGATAGGATTCCTGTAAATTTCAATGGTGGGCATTAAACATGATCTAACATATGATGTATAATTTATTTTTGAATTTATTTTTGTTATTCTAATATTTAGATTAGATACACAATCAATCAATTATAAAACCTAATTAAAAATATTATAATTTATAAATTTATAATTATATAATTAAAAATAAAATTCTATAATTGAGTCCCCAAAAAGGAACCATAATTGTGTCTAAAAATTTCTATTTGAATTTTTTGTCGAATAAAAAGGAATTCTCTTGGTTCATTTGTGAAAAGTCGTATTTTATTAGCAAGATTTTTTAAAAACAAAGATGTTGAAGGCGAAAAATGCCCGTTAGTAGAAGTCACTACTGGAGTGAATAAAAAGTTTTTAAAATTTTTGAATTTGTTTATCTTTTTAATTTCATTTTTAATTATATAATTATAAATTTATAAATTATAATATCAATCAATTATTAATTTATTAACAATCAAACAAAAATTTTTATATATATTTTGAATAAATATATGCAAATTAATAAATCATTGTTTATATGTAATACTTATCCTTAGTTGTTTATAATAAATAGATTTTTATCTAAAAGTATAAATATGACATACTTTATAGTATCGAAAATTTTAAAATTACCTATATTACTTTTTTTATATAATATAAATTCTTAATTTTCTATATGCTGCTTTTCCTCAAGGTGGTTAATAATATTATTTAATTATCACCTTACCAGCCTACCTATATAAGATATGTCACAAGGGTAAGTTTTCTTATATCTTATTATCGGAACCCTTATTATATAGCATGAGATAAAATATTATTTATTTTAAAAAGCATTTTTTTGTTTAGTATATTTTTTAAAAAAGCTTAACCAATTTTGTTTTGTTTGTAAATTAACTTGGACCTATTGACCCTGAACTTATTGAATATTATTTTATTTATAATTGTTAATTTGACAGATTAGCAGATATCGGTCTGGTAGGATTGGCTGTCATGGGGCAAAATATTGTCCTTAATATGAATGATCATGGTTTTAAAGTGTGTGTATTTAATAGAACAGTGCAAAAAGTGGATAGGTTTTTGAACAATGAAGCCAAGGGAACCAATGTCATAGGCTCTCATTCTATTGAAGAGTTTTTATCTAAACTTAAAACCCCCAAAATAGCATGGATTATGGTTAAAGCTGGAAGTGCTGTAGATGATTTCATCAATATATTGGTAAATGTTTAATATAATAACCACCTAGGTAAATAATCAAATGGGGTACCCCCCTCCCCGATTGCAAATTTAATAAATAATTCCCCTTATACCTCTCCCTCTCCTAAAATAAAATACAATATATCACTGTAAAGATAAATTTGAAATAAATAATTAAAAGTTTAATTGCCATAATTCAGAATTTTTAGAAAAAAATTTTTTTATTTAAAAAAGTGAAAACCATAAATTATTTTTATAAAAAATCCAAAGGCCAATAATAAGTGGACCTAAAGGTCTCCAATAAAATTTATGGAGGAAAACTCATTTAATAGCTCCACCCCCCCCCCCCCCCCCTTTAAAAAATTCCTGAATATGCCCATGTAACCATCATATTATAAAAACTTTATTATTTTTAAATGAATATTTTCTTTTTAATAGTTATTTAGATTATCATTATTTGATTTTATTGTTATTATATACCTGATGTTAACATGAAAATATGGCTAACATTAATTATAATTTAACAAAATTTTAAATTACTATATAGGCACCAGCTATGCATAAAGGTGACATTATAATAGATGGAGGAAATTCTGAATATGATGACACCACTGTAATACAATTATTTATTTTATAATATTTTGATTGTGATTATTCTTTATTAATTATTAAATAGTTTTTGTTGGTAGTATAAATAATATTTAGTAATTATATGTTTAGAGCTAGCATTACTTAGAGAAGAGACATAATTTTTAAGTAACCATTATATAGAGAGAAATGAGGTAGGTAATGGTTTCAATTACTGTTATTTAAAAATTAAAAGCTAATTGTTGCATAATTAAATTACAATAAAATTAGATATGCAACCACTTTTATAATATATTTTTTTGCAAAATAGAGAAGGAAGGAGAAATGTATTTTTTTGTTGTACAGATTTCTTAAACTCTCACAATAATATATTAATTCTTTACTTTCCTCTTCAAGAAAGTATGAATATTTTTATATGGCACTGCTTAGTGATCAGAGACCTTCATGGGCCTTATTTTTTTGATCAAGCCCGGCCCAGGCCCGCAGTAAAAAAAATTTTTTGGCCAAAGCCTGGCCCATATTTAATGTTAAAAAAATTCCCAAGCCCATAATAAGTTTCACAAAAATTTCCCAAGCTTATACAAAAATTTAATTTTTTTTATTGAATGAAAATTAACCATATTTAAATATATTTAGGCAATCATTTTGTTTACAATACTGAAATTTATTATTATTAGAAGAAAAAAGGCAAGATTTTATTAAATTAGCAACTGTTTTAAACAATCTAAATTTATATTTAATAATTTTAGGCCCAAGCCCATTAAAAAATTTTTTTTTAAAACCCTATTAAAATAATGAATATCAATTAATCCATTTTTTTAACTATTTTAATTCAATATTTTTTTTGAAAATGATTAAGAATTTCCTCCTTCATATAAATAATCATTTTAAAAATTTACAGCAATTTATGATGAATTTATAATAGCTAGTGATCTGCATCGGGCCTAATTTTCCAAGCCCGGCCCGAAATTTTTTTAAAAAAAGTTTTGCCAGCCCCGCCCAAATTTATTTAAATATAGAAATTAATTTTTATAATTACTCAAAATAAAAGACATATGTTATATGTCGTTTAGTTTCAATAAATAAAATCAAATATTATTATCTTACATAAAAAATTCAATATAAAATTGATAAATTTAGATATATTTAAAAAAAATTCCAAGGTCCGACCCGACCCGGCTCTAATTTTTTTTAAAAATATTAGGCCCGGCCCGGTCCCAACCCGATTATTTTAAATATAATTAGGCCCGAACCCGGCCCAAAGCCGGTTTGGGCCTGGCCTAACTTTGCAGATCTCTAATAATCGCAGCCATTTCCACCCATATTTCGATTTTGAATATAATTGGATTCCAAAACTCAAACAGAGTAAGGAAGAAGTTGATGCAAGTAAATTAAAATCGACTAATCATGTTCTCCAAATTAAAGCCACTGAAAGAAATTCAAAAAAAAAAATTATAGCAGCTTTAATAAAAAGATTTTGAAAAAAGGCTAAAATTTATATACCAAAAACAAACTTTACGTTATTAATTGAAATATAACAAAGCTTACATAGCTCTTCGCAGTGGGTAGCTAGGAATTTTCCTTAGAGGGGGTCCATACATATAAAAGCTGGGGGCTTCGCCCCCAGACCCCTTTAACGGGCCTTCGGCCGGGTTTATCTTACAAATCATAACCATATCTTCGATAATATATAATAAATATATTTTTTAAATGCATCAATAATATGTTATTATAATTTAGTAGATTATTCTCAATGACTTTATAATAATACTATCCAGAATAATTTCAATAGTAATATAATATCCTTCCACAAACATCAAAACCAGAAAAATATAATTCATATAAAATCACTTTTAAGTCTTTTGAACGTATATTCTCAAAAAAAATTTTGCTCTGGGAGGGGTCCAAACCCGAAAACCACCCCCGTAGCTACGCCACTGGCTCTTCGTTACATTTTTTTTTTACCCATGCCTGACCATAAGACTCCGATTTTTTAAATTGATTTCTTATAAACCTAATGAATTATATAATGTACTGGGTCCAAGTGTTGTACATTTCGTATAGGGATATGCAATCCACGAGGATTCGAAATCTTTCAAATTAAAATTATTTACGAATTTTTTGATTTTAAAAATCTGATATGACCGGAAATGTTTTAAAGCTATGTCTGGAGTAACCCACACTGAATTTGAGATAGTTTTTCCATGAACCGGCGCACTCTTAATTTATATTTATTTATTTGTAGGTACTCTACACATGCTGGAATATATTTCCGGTCAAATCCGATTTTTTTTTTAAATTTAAAAATCTCCTTTAATAAATGATTAAAATATAAATGTCGGAATTCCCATGAATTCCATATCTCAATATGACTTACATATTATTAAATAAATTAAATTTATCCTTATCGAATAAATTATATTTTCTTCTCTTAATATTTCTAAGAGACGTGTGCAAGCCCTGAAAGAAAAAGGTATACTTTATGTAGGTATGGGTGTAAGTGGAGGTGAAGACGGTGCCAGATACGGGCCTTCCTTGATGCCTGGAGGCAATCCGGATGCCTGGTTTCACAATATATATAGTTGTTTTGTAGTTAACTTATTGCAATAAAATATACATTAGGAATAATTAATTTTTAAAATTATAATTTCTTCTTATCACCAAGTGTAGTCTCTTCCTCTATTTTTCGAGGCATAATAGAAATACAATTGATTTTTTCAAAATATATTCTTAATTATTACTATGTTTTTCAACCATTTTCACAATTTGCAAAAAAATGATTAATCTGATAAAAAAAAATATTTTTTATATTATATAACAGTAAAATCTTCGCAAAATGTTAACGTAATTAGTTATGTTTTGTTCAATATAGAAGAGGGAGATGGTTGATGCATAGAACATTTCGATTTTATAATTAATGGCATTTGGGCAGAAAGGGGTTTCGGTTGAGATAAGGATATTAGTGACATTGCAGATGTTGAGAGAATTATCAATTATTTGATCCAAGTTTTATTTTATATAATTTTTTTTAAATTAAACGTAAAGGCCCCACATTAAGAAAATCATGCAGAGCATTTCGGCTCAAGTCGACGGAGAACCGTGTTGTGATTGGGTAACCATTATAAAATTAAAAATTGTTTTACCCCTCGAAAATGGTTAAGTCAAAATAATTTTGTTAGTGATAAGGTGTGGCTTATCTAAACCCCTATTTTAAACTGGTATATCTCACTGGTATATTTAAATTATTAAGGTAACCTTAAAATTAATTATACGTGTAAAAAAATTTAACTTTTTTATGTTGAATGGTCATCTACATTTAGCATATTATTTACTATACAAATCGATTCTTTTTTTGTAGTTTAAAAGTTGGTTTAGTCTCGGTAAAAAAAAAGTTTTTTATCAAAAACTATCTAATTAAAAATACACAAAACTTTTCAGAAATATCGTTTAGATGCATTTAAGATATTATTGAAGAAAGCAGTTCAGATGTTTAAATATCTGTACTTTCATTTGTAATAATTTTTTTATATCTTTGTATTACTCTAGTGTTTAAGCTGAATATCAACGCTAAAATTTTTTAAGGCCATATGATTTTATTGCGAGAAATTTATTAGAGTTACATAATTATCTAACCGATCCTTTTTTTCCGCTTAAGCTTTAGAGATCCATAGGGAAAACTGGCCCTTTTACCCAGGGATTATAACCTTTTTAAAATGAAAAGACTTCTAAAACTCAAAAAGAACTACTCTAAAAGCTGGAATTAGTTAATTAAACGGTTTTAATACAGCAAGGTTCGACCCTAAATTAAACCTCTTTTTGTGGCTAGGCTGCTTTACTATACTGATCAAACGAATTTTTAAAAAATGATTGTAATAAAAGTTAGGAAATGACGGAGCCGGTCACTTTGTAAAAATGGTTCACAACGGGATAGAATACGGAGACATGCAATTAATATCGGAATCCTATTGGATGATGAAACAATTTCTCAAGCTTAGTAACGAAGAAATAGGTCAGGTTTGTGAAATATACCAAATTTAAATTTCCATATTTCATTATTTCCTTCTCATATTGCAAATTGGATGATTAAGCTATTTAATGAAGAGGTCCGGGTCAAAAATTTCTATGCAATATCTGAACCGTACATAGAACACAACCTTTATTCCAAAAGTGTAAAAGAGGTAATTGAACGGTTAGAAATTATATTAACCTGTTTCAAACAAGGTTTTCTAAAGATATCCTTCTCATTTGCATTTTTTTTCAAAATAATATTTTCATAATGGGATTAGAAACCTAAAATAATTAAGCCACTTATATATATATACAATACATTAAATTATATCCAATGGGTGCCGTTGCTAAGAAGAGCCTACAGCCAGCTCATAACTCCTATTTAATTTGAGAGTATCTAAAATATTTTCTCTTTTTAACAATTAGTGAATATCCATTTTTAAAATGCAGCGCTATTTGGAATTTATTTTTGTTACAGGTCTTCGAGAAATGGAATAAGACCGAATTAGATTCTTACTTAATCGAAATCACTTACCAAATCATTAACTTCAAAGACAAAAACGGAACATGTTTGATTGACAAAATCAGGGATTCTGCAGGACAGGTTAAAAAAAAATAACCATAATCATGAAATATTGGCATAATTGTTATAATAATGTTTGGTAAATTCTTGACGATTGGCCATTTGCAAAATTGAGAAATTGATATTTTTTTTAAAAAAAACATATTCTCAATGTGCATAAACTAGATTATATTTTTAATAAAAAATATAAATACGAAATCAAAATTTAGAAAGGTACGGGCAAATGGACTATCATCAGTGCTTTAAACGAAGGTGTGCCCGTTACCCTTATAGGTTAAATCATTGCTCTACATAGTATAAAATTATATTTAAAAATTATTTCTGCCACCATATTTTTTTTAATAGCAGATCAAGACATATTTATAAAATTTCTTCTAATTTACTTTCCTTTTGAATAATATTGTTTGTTATATTAATGCTGTAATGGTTACTTTAAAAACGTAACAACGTTTTTTTTCCATTCCTTCCCAAAAATATAACTTCTTTTCGTTACCTTACTCGTTACTTTATAAAAAAAACGTGTTATTATGCTATTAGTTATACAAAAAATAAAATGGCATGTCAAATACTGATATTCCTTTTTTCCAATTATGCAAAAAAAGGATAATAAAGATATATTATAACTGTAAAGAAAGAAAGGTATTTCAACAAAATATAAAAATTTTAAATGTACAAGATTAAATATAATTATTATAATATATTTTCTAACCATTTTTAACAAACATGTTTTTCGTATCAGATAAACAAGAACGTTTAGCACTCAACACAGCTTTGATGTACTAAAGTCACGTACCTACTATAAATGGGTGGTTTTATATTTAACACTTACTATCTTTCCTGCAGTTGCCTCATTTCATAATTAGCCTCTGTGGTGCTCTTTTCAATTGAAAAGCCGAACTGCATGTCATTCAATTTCATTGGTTCCTAATTTTTTCTAACCCTTAATGACCTTCATTGCCTCTTTCCAAAGTTTAATTGCTCTCTATGAACGACTGTCTAGAAGATTAACCTTTCCTTCTTATATCGGGAGTATCCCGCTTTTCCACCAGTCATCAGGTAAAGTCCATTCAAAAATATTCAATTTGCATACATAGGTAAGCCACTCGATCCCCAAATCTTCAGCTCAAACATTCCTGTCACTACTCATAGCCCTCATCCTTATCTTTCTTTATCTTTTTTAAAGCTAATTTCACTTTAGCAAATATATAACCAGGCCCTTCCACTTGCACATTTCACATCATTCTATAATTTTTTCTCCTCATTCAATAACTTTTCCATATACGACTTCCAAACCTTTTTGATTTTGCTACTATCAATTACGATATTTTAAACACATCACACACATTACATCCTATATCTCTTTTGCCTTCTTAACGATCCTAAAAATGTTTCTATTCTCTTCCTCATTTTTCAACTCCTACATTTTAAATTTTTGCTTTTTAGCCATATTCGGAGACGGATATATCTTAACTAGAAAATCAACTTATAGAAAGCATGAGGACGCTTTCAACGCATCATCCAATACATAACCCAATGCCTGGTAACAGACACAAAGCTATATTGGCCGATTTCATTTTTCCTGATTCTTATTTGACCCATTAAATTTCCTTCAAACTTATTAAATATTATAGTCTCATACACCTTTTTAATCATTTCTTTTTCCAAATTTCTGAATTTTTCTATTTCCGTTCTTTTTAATACAACACTTTCCTCATTTTTTTTATATTACAATTAAGTTTCATACCTATAATTTTACCGGCACCACTTAACTTTTTATCATTGAAAACCTTTATATCTTTTATTTTTCAAAATTCCAACACACTAAAAAGTAATGATTATAATAATAATGTTTTATGCTTTCGATTTTTTTTAAACATAAAAAAATAGTCAATAATATCTATACTTTCCAGAGAGAAAAACGAATGATGTTATTTTCCCTATAAATTTGATTAAAGCTGTATTTTTATTGACATTACTTTACAGCACTGGTTATGTTATATTTTTTAAATGAATTATTTATGTATCAGATATTTTCATATTGTTTATATACATTGTATAGGCGAAGCAGTGTTTGCTCGTTGTCTATCTGCCCTTAAGGACGAAAGAGTTTTGGCCAGTAAAATATTTCCTAAACCTAGGGTCATCGAATGTCAACAGAACAAGGAGGAGTTCATTGAATGGATTAGAAAGGTTTTTAATTATTGTTAATAATTAAGAGATTTTCCATAGTTCCCCAAAAAGCAAATGATAATTTTTTTGAAGAAGTATTAACTAAGCTTCCTTACTAAAATGACAATAAAATAATATGAAAGGTAAAATAAATTATATTATTTTTATTACAATATTTATTCCTTTTTTTTAAGTTTAACAAAAAAAAATAGCAGACGTTTCCCCATTTAGAATTCCCATTAAATTTGCACCTTAATGATGTTGAATATAGACATATTTCATTTAAATTCTGTCTTCAAAAAGAAAATTATTTTTGATAAATAGCGCACTCGAGAAATTAATGCAAAATTATTAATATTTTATACATTTGCAAATAAATCCATACATAAAAATCGTATATTTGGGTAATTTCTTTAAATAATTTAATATATTAGGCTTTGTACGCCTCCAAGATCATATCCTATGCGCAAGGTTTCATGTTGTTTAAAGAAACATCTAATAAATACAAATGGGAACTCAGTTACGGGAGTATAGCTATGATGTGGAGAGGAGGATGTATCATTAGAAGGTAAATTAAAGGGCGAAATTATTAAAAAAGTTAAGGGAGGGTAAAGAAAAAAATAAAAAGTGTATTCATTATCAAAATTTAGATTTTTAAAAAATTTCCTAATTGACTAATTTTCTATTTCAAATTTTGACTATCTCTAAGTAAAAAAATAAATGTTTTTTAAAAAAATCGAATGATCATATTAAAATATTATTTATTCGAAATCGCTATTTTTTTCAAAAATAATCGTGATTTTTTTCCCAATCCATATAGTGACTTAGAAGGGCTAAAGGTAAGGTGAGAAATCGTGTAGTTATAACTGTTTTTACCAGAGTTATAGATTAAAAAAATTACGGTTCTTGATTTTGATAAGGTTCCGACCTTTAGTATTCTGATTTCAAACTCTGTTTATTATACTTTTAACATTTCTAATTTGTATAGGTTTATTTTGTCATTAAATTTATTTTTTGGAATCACTTTTGCAACAATCTTATAATTGTTTAATTTTTCTTTAAAATTTATTATATAAAAAAAACAAGCAAATTTTTAAAGAACATCAAAGATGCTTTCGTTAAAGATCCCAAATTGTTTAATCTTATGACTGATCAATTCTTTTTAAAGGCTTTGGAAGCTTCTCAAGTAACCTAATATGCGATTATATTTATAAATAGATTTATATGTAACCAACGGTCCTGACCCTTTTATTGATAGTTAGATGGTATTATTGATGTAATCTCCAAATACTATACGTTGTCTGAGTATTTTAAAGCAGGGAATAATGCAAAGATAAGCTATCCAAAAAATTGGAGACGAAAATTTAGGACTATTTAATTTATCTTACAATAAGAGATTTTGAAGTGAACATTTGTTATTTCTTCCAGGACATTTGATTTAAAATCATACGATTGAAAAATAAGAGCATAATCATTATTCTGTGGAGAATGATTTGTGTAAAATGAAATAGCTATCAAACTCCTGAAACTCTTGCATCACCAAATAAGCAATAGGGTATAAAAAATAAATCATGAAAACCACCAAATAACATTTTATCAATGTTTAGGTTTTAGTCTTTTGCAAAATTTTTGTGGCCTAGGATAACCTATAGATGACCACATATGAGATAGTTATTTATTACTAGGTAATATTTAGATATATTTTTTAGTCATATGCTTCATATTACTAAAATTCCATTAGGATTACCGGTAAAAATGTGTCGCTCTTAAAGACATCAAAACCCTATTTTTCAATTAAAATTCTGGACATTTCCCATCATATCAATTAAAAAACATTTGCTCTTATTTCGCATAAATTGAACCTTTCTTGAAATCGATATATAGAGTTCATTATTAGTAGAAAAAACAATAAGATAATATCAATCTGCAAACATTTTAATCTAAAATATTCTACATTATACAATAAAAAAACATTTAAACAAAATTATAATATACCTCAGTCTCCGTGTCATCAGCATCTCCTAATTCAATAAATGAAATATGACCTGGGTATATAAATCTTCTGATTAAATTGTATTAGAGATGGTTAGTGGCACCCTCAAAAAAAATTAATTCTTGTATTAACCTTAGGAATATATTAAAAATTAGTATTGCACATATTAAAAAATTGATGTTTATCTAATTAGTAATATTTCATAAGTACATCAGTCTCTGAACGTTGAAAATTTTGATAAAATAACATTTTAATATAAAAAAAAAGTTGCTTTTTCCCAAATCCTTGAATTTTTTACCAAGTAAATCCTCAGAAATTTTACAAATATCTAGTTTTAAAATGATAATGAGAGTAAATATCCGGCATCCTTAAATTATTAACAGCTTAATATTAGTATTTTTTAAATTTTACGGCTTATAATTTAGATCATAAATATATAATTTATTGCGTATATTTCACAGGAATCCTGGAGGAAGGTAGTAGCCACAGCTGCTATTGAGGGAATACCTTTGCCTTGTTTCTCTGCCGCTCTTGCCTTTTACGACGGTTATAGAAGCGAATTTTTGCCCGCCAACTTGATTCAGGTAAATATTTATTTAAAATCTCTATTTTATTTTATAGTATTTTTTGCCATTGATCGGTTGATATTTTATGTTAATATCTTGTTAGATACATTTTTAATCTTACCTAAAATAAAATATAACTATTTTTAAATGAGGATTTCATAATCAAATAAGATTAACATATGATCATAATAATTGGATTGATTTTAGAATTGTAGCTTTAAATATCCAGCATCAAATTTTTGATACCTTTCATATATGTTGATTGCTTATTTTTGTTTTTTAGGCGCAAAGAGACTTTTTTGGGGCTCACACCTATGAACTACTCACTAAACCCGGTCAGTTTATCCATACAAATTGGACAGGCCATGGTGGTGATGTATCATCTTCAAATTATAACGCATAAAATATTAAAATCTCATCGTTTCAACTTTTTATAAATTTTAAATTAGAACATAAGTCTTGATCCAAGAATTAATATTGGCAATCTTAAAAATTACTATACTCTTTGTATTATCAAATTGTAGGCCATAAAATATCTTCCTTTATATTAAAATTGCAAGTCATTGTGATATATAATTTCATTATAAATATACACGAACTATATAATTTTTATATTGCCTTTTATAACAAAAAATTGTTCTTATTTACCATTTCAATCATTGATAAAATAGTTGAATTTTTAATACAATTATTATATAAATATATACTCTAGTAAATTTATACACATATTAAATTAATAATTAGTAGTAAATTATGTGTATAATAGTATAAATAAAATATTAGGAATCGCATTGTATTTTTCTTTTCAAAATTAAAAATTGGAATGTTAATAAATTTAAGATTATATTTTAAATTATCGATCTAATTATAATTTTTTAGCAAAAAAAGTAAAATACTTAGCAAACTTCGATAATTCAAGATATTCAAAGTTAATAATAATTTCCTTTGGATTAAGCCTACTAAATAAATCAGCTATCGTGGAATATCATCATTTATTAGGAAATAATTTTATTTTTTGTATTCACAATATTTTACTAGTCTTATCAAAATTAGGTCAAATATATTATTCGTTCTATAAATTCAAATTAGCTATTTCTTCGTCGATATCTTCAAAGAGGGATTCATCAATCTCCAAGTCCTGCAGATCCTCAAGGTTTTCAGAATCAGCTGTTAACAACATCTCGTCGGAAAGCATTAACATGCTGTTTCTTTCAAACAATTGTCGGCCTAAAAAAATCTCAAAATATATATTTAAAATTACTGCTTATTATTTAATTAATAAATAGATATGTTAAATATTAAAATCCAATTTTAGGATTACTATATAAAATTTTATTTGTTAACTAAATATTATTTTAAAATTGCCCCTTAAACAGAAATAGGAATTTGGATTTGAAATTGATATAATTTATTTATAAAATCTCAGTATTTTGAAATAATTGGGTATATAACTTAGTGATGCAAAATCGCTTCATTTAAACCTACTCCAAAAAGGCTTGGCCGAGTTTTTAAGCGAAAAAATTGGCTCAGCCTTAGAACGCGAGTCGAAATATTGGCTTTAACTTGGATTGCAAGCCGAAAAATCAGCTCAGCCTTGAAGCTCGAGCTGAAAAGGCAACTCACTTATGGAACTCAAGCCGAAAAAAATCGGCTCAGTTTGGATGCCAGGCACAAAATCGATTAGCAAGTCACTTTCATTTTGATTTTAAAAATGAATATAGTATACATTGTTCTGGAACCCGGTGATGGTAAATAGTTTCACATGTAAATCTATCAAGATATTTGGTGAATTAATTTGTATTCTTATACAAATCTCAAGATTGTAACCAATAAAAATCTCTTATAGACACGTTTCATTTATACATCATTTCAGTTCGAGATTGGTATCCTAAAAACAAGTAAAATTTTCCTACCGATATTTTATTTGTCTAAGAAAATAGTCAAATATAATAAAAAAGTCTATAAGAATATAATTGTTATTAAGTTCCAATTTTGAGCAATTTGTATAAAAATAGAAATTAATATACTGACTATCTTAATAAATTTACATTTTGAAATAATATATCAGGATTCGAGAGCAAGAATATCTACTATTGTCGTCTAAGGTTGAGTCGACTGGGAAGCGATTTTGCAGCACAAATATAGTTCATCAAATATAAATCTCAAAAATAAAGTTATGGTATGGGAAATAAAATACCAGTTGGGCGATTTTCCTGATCCTCGTCTATGGTTTTAACCATTTTCCGTAGCCTCTCTTCGTCGAATTTGGATTTCCAATGTATAAATGAGTCTATGGTAACGGCTATACCATCAATTCTTTTCTAGATTTAGATAATATTAGAAAATAGTGAGTTTCATTTATTTTTTGTTGTTTTATATAACGATTTTATAATCATTGGTATTGTTAAACTGCTCGATTTGAATATATTTTTAAAAATGGCTAACTCAATATTTTATCCAGGAAAATATTATGCAAGTCTGAAGAAGCTGTTCATAGAGAGCTCAAAGGTATCTATGACATTTATTAGCCAAATCTCAAAGTTTAGCCAATATTTTTCTGGCTAAAATATTAAGTTAGCCATTTTTAAAAATAGATTCAACTAATCCTAATCATTAGTGTTGTTAAATTGCTCGGATAGTTCGAAAAAAATGAGCTAGGCCCAACCCAACTAAATCTTTCGATCCGAGCACCAACCCATGCATAAGCCTGATACATTGTTAATTTTTTTCCCTATTCTCATGTAGATAATGTTTAGGTGTAATTCTTAATTATGAAAAAAACTCAAAATTCTTTTAATTATTTATTACATTTTATAAGTATATAAAGCGATTTAGTGTTCACTCATAAAAAATGGCACTTATCATTTTATCGTCATTCTCGGTTTTGATGATTTTACTATGTATATAAAAGAAAATTATTCACCAAAAAAATTTATATTAATAAGTAATAAGTTTGATTAGGCAAAATTTATAGAATGTATGAAATGTTGGGATATCCAAAGAGAAAATCATTTATGAGACTTCTTGTGCTACAAAAAGGGAACTGTGCAAAAAGCATGCACGACAAGATGGAACCTTCGACATCAAGCTGTCGCATAATTTTTCCGATGTTCCTTACAATATTCTTTGAATTGAGAGCTAGTAAATTGTGGTCCGTTGTCCGATACTAAAGATTGTGGATTTCCCCGCTTAAATATTTCGCCTAATACCTCGGTGGCTCTCTCTGATGTGGTGGTGGTCATTCTTTTACCTCCACCCATTTCGTAAATGTCTACCAGTATAAGCCACATGGTGTTTTTGAACGGTCCCGCGAAATCTATATTAACTCTTTGCCAAGGTCTTGTCGGGTCACCATACATATTGTCTGGTTAAACTCTTCATTCTGAAGATTCCTTGATGACAGCTATGTAACTCATTTAGTATTTTTTCGCAATTCTGTTGGAATTATTATTCATTCCCCTTTGTATAAAGATCCGTTTTTTTCCCATAGATTATCTTCGGACAATGGACCACAATTTACTAGCTATCAATTCAAAAAATATTGTAAGGAACATCGGATAAATCACACATACCCCTCCATACCATCCAAGCTCCAACTGAGAAGCGGACGGGATGGTAAGAACGGTGAAAACAGCCATGGAAAAAAATACAGCTATAAACAAGAATGAGAGATTAAATGAATTTTTATTAGCCTAGAAACAGGGAGCGTGCAACAACGGGACAGATGATGTTTGGACAGAATGCTCGAACCTATCTGCAAATGATTAGGGAGACATAAGGAAGCAGACAAGATGGTACTCACACAGAACAGAAAGGTCAATTTTTTACGATAAGACAACCAGTATGGACTAAAACACATAATGATAAGGTGAAATGAATTAAGTAAACGATAGTAGCTCGAATATACAACGTGGACACCGCCAAAGGCATGGAAAAAAACATAAGGACCAAATCCAAAATAGGTGAGAGTATATCTAAGAACTAAGATGATAAATATTGATTTTTATTTTATTTTTGTAAAGAATATTATTAGATTTTTGGAAATTCTTTATTTATTTTTGAATAAATATCGATTTTTATATTTTATTTTGTTGAAGAATGTTATTTTTTAATTTATCGATTTTAAATCTCGATAAAGATATCTTTCTTCTAAAAATTTATTATATATTTTAATAGACTTTTTTTATTTCTCTGAATTAATCAAGTTATATTTTAAGAAATTATAATTATTTTAGGAATATCGATTTATTATATTAATCATTTTTTTTACTAGAAATTGAGATAATACAATTTGTATTTTTTTTTCAGAAAAAAAAAATTATTTTTAAAAGACAAAAAAAATATTCTGATTTTGAATTACATGATATTTAAAATTGTGAAAATAAAGTTATAGAGTAAAAAAATTAATTTTTATAATTACTGTATAAAAAATACGTGTAAAAAGTAATATTGGTTCAATACGACGATAATTTTTTTTACATTAGAATATGTATTAATTTTAATAAACAACAATTTTATGCACCATTTAAAAAAATAAAATTATGTAGATTTGGCTGTGATTATTACAACTTAGAAATCTAAGTAATAATATTGACCAATAATTTAACAAGATTTGTGTGATTGTAGAGGCAAAAGCAAAATTATATGATTTTTAAGATTTACAATACATGACCTGCACTTCGGCAAGGAATTCCTTCTAATTGAGAATTACTATAAAATAACCATTTTCATTAAAAACAGCTCAAATTGAGCCATTTAACAACATTGAAATGATTTAAAACAATAATTTTTAAAAAAAATCTGCGTAATTATTTTTATTAACACACCCTGTAATAGATAAATATTATAAATTGGGAGTATGAATAGTGATAATTACCATTACTTCATAAGGGAAAGGGTTATAAAAAATTAGACAAACTAAAAAATTTTATCAAGTCTAAAACAAATTGTTATATATTTTATAATTAATGATACTTAAAAAGGCTTACATATTTTTCAGTTTCTTTTCTTAGGATTTCCTCATCCATCTTTTTCTTAATTTCTTTAGAATCAATGTACCACCAATCTTGTATAAAGGATATGAGGGTAAATATCATAGGCATTCCCAAATTATCTCCTGCCTAATATTATCAGTATATATATATATATATATAATATATATATAAAACTTCAGAAATTAAAACATTTTTCATTTTTTCTTTTTGAAAATCTGATATATGATTGGATAATATATCCATAATAGGTATCTCATCTGGATATAATTTAGGCAATATAAATTGCAAAATGCATTTACCTTTAAAAAATACATATATTAATTTAATACATATGGAAATACTTCTTGAAGTAGATAAATCAGTGTTATTTTGAATTTTTACATGTAATTTTAACCTATCATTATCGTCATGTAAAACTAAAATTTATTAGGTTATATCTATATTTGATATATACCATATATATCATCAGCGAATATTGATTTCAATGCCTCAACTTCGTTATCTTGCTCCTCGCTATTAACCATCTGAAAAGTCAAGCAAGCATCATTTACAATGAATGAGTGCAATACTTTTAACACAAAAGATAATAACATTACCAGAATGAAATTGGTTAACCAAGTTCGGAAACAAACAGAAAAGATAATAACATTACCATAATGAAATTGGTTAACCAAGTTCGGAAACATGGCCAACCAAAGAATCAGAAGAGAGAAATCTACAAACTATGGAGATGAAATGCTGAGGATGATTGCTGGAGTAACAAGAAAGGATAAAGTGCGCAGTACAAGAATACTAGGAAGTTTAAAAGTAGTGCCCATTAAGACTAGTAGGGGCGTCGCTACCCTTTACAATCTCAGGGGGCTCAACTAAAAAATATTTTATGGGGGCGAAGCCCCCATACTCTCTAATTTGTGGGTCATCGGCCCGCATTTGCCAGGGCGTCGACCGGGTTTTATATTAATATATTATACTCTTTTTAAAAATTGCTAACTCTAAACAATTATTCCAAATTTTATATTTTTCATTCATTATATTATGCATACAAAATAAACTAGCATATAAATAATGAAAACAATAAAAGACATTTCTAAAAATAATATTTTTTAATACAAAATCTATTTATTACAATATAAAACATTTTCGATTGTTGATATAAAAAATTTTGTGTCTAAAGAATTATAAGTGATAAAAAAAGGTTAATTAATTTATACATATTCCTCAATTGATAATGGTTTTTAAAAACCAAATAATATAAAATAATTCTTAGCAACTTGCATTGAGAAAAGGTCATTAACCAATATAGATCTCTGTTACCATTTTAGACAATGTTGTATAGAATGGACTAATAAGGAAAAATTTATAGGTCTAACCAAATCAACAATTCTTGAATAAGAGAATATAAACAACTAATCCAAATCATAAAACTATATGGTGGTTAGAGCTTCCTCTATATGACATGATGGAAGATAGATAAGTAATCGAGAAAATTATTGGAGATATTAAATTTCTATTATCATTCATTTTTAATGATATATGATTTAATAAGGATAATATCCATTGTGACATGAATAATAAGATGTTTAATTTTTAATAAAAATTGTTTTAAATAAATAGATGGCGTTAAAGAATTGAATGCAAATTGTTACTTATATTTATTTTCAAAAGCATTTATTAGTATAATTTATTAAAATATTAACTATAATATATTCCATAATTGTCAAATATGTTTGTAAAAGTTATTACCTTATATTTTGTAACCAATTCCATATAATAGAAGATTATCAATTATATGTCTATTAACTTTTTATAAAGAAATTTATTTTACTTGTTTGACGTTGGAAATATTTTTTAGAAAGCGGCATGATAATTACATTTAAAAATGAATAATATAGTTGATTAGTGATTTTAAACTAGGCTAATTACAATTTTAAATCGGTTAATTTTCAATTAACAAATGATTAAATTTATTTAATTATGGTTATATAATAATTTAAATAATAAAAGGCAATTAAGCTCAACTGATAAAGCTAAATAAATATATATTTAGTGAGTGATATTGATTATCTATTTTTAATACAGAATTTGATTGCAAGCTGGCTTAGTGAAAATATAATTTATATGTATTAATCTAATCTAATAATTAAAATAGTATTCATTTAATAATAATTTAGACAGTCTTATCAATTTCTAAATAATAAAATTAAATATATATATTACTTAATATAATTATAAAAGAAATCATTCAGGGGGCAATCAAAAAAATTTATTTTTAGTTCAAGGGGATATTAAGGAGTCATTAAAAAATTTTTTTGCTTCAGGGGGCTATTCAAATTTTTCAGGGGGATCGAGCCCCTGCGCGCCCCTCCCTAGTGACGCCACTGAGATTAAGATAATGGTAAACAGACTTAGGTGGTATGGGCACACAAAAGGGCTATGAACTAGATAGGAAATAAGGTTGAGAGTTTGGAAGTGATGGCAAACGTAAAAGAGGAAGGCTAAAACTTCAATGGGGCCATAAAGTTAGAGCCAATATGGAGAAGTATAAATTAGATAAAAGAGATAGTCTCAATAACATAAAGTGGAGAGAGATATTGAAAGAGCTTATCATCAGAAAAGGTGAAAGAAAGAGGAAAAAAAATGATATTAGTAACCAACAAAAAGAAAACTATGGCAAAAAATTGAAATACAAAAATGAGTTTCAAACGATGAGATAAAAAATGCAAGGAAACCATGTAAATCTATAAAACTTATATACAAGTTTGGCATTTTTTTATAATTATAAAAAATCAAAGTACTATTTAATAATTGTGTTCCCAAAAGGAACCATAATTATATTAAAAACTTCTATTTTAATTTTGACGAAAATATAAAAGTTGATTTCTTTGGTAAAATATCGAGGTCTGCTGCCAATATTTTCCGTTTGAAATGACTATTGAAATAAAAAAGAAGTTGGATGTTGTATTTATTTATCTTTCTTGTTTTGCTTGAGTTAGCGGAGGTGTTTAAAGTGTTTGAAAGATATATGTATAGCCCCATATTAAAGATTTGTATAGGGCCCAAGTAGAAGACATGCGATAATTTGAACGGCCAGGCACTTTTGGAATAAATTTGTTTTACCTGGTATACCGTTTCAACTGCTGAAATGACTGCTGCTATATATTTTTACTTCAAAAATATTGGCGGTCATTTTGTTAATAAAAATAAATGTTTTGGGCAGGGGTTCGAACCGAACCCGGAGAAATAACCCGGGTTTTTGGTAAAAAATCTGAACCCGAACCAAAATAGATCCCCATTTATAAAATTTTCAAAACCCCCAACTGAACCTGGGAATTTTATTTGAACCGTGGTTCAACTGGGTTCAGTGTATTGTTTAAATTAATATATGAAATTATAATTGTAAATACAAATATTAATAATTTACTTGACACCTTATTATATTTTCAAACCAATTAAGTGAAGTGTTAATAAATTTTAAACAACTTAATTCATTTACTTTTTAAATTTTTTTAAATTTATTCTTAAAGATTCCTATTGGATTGTTAATAAACAATTAAATTCATTTACACCATTTATTTTTAATTTTTAAATTATTCTCAAAGATTATTAATTAGAGGAAAATGAAAGTGAACAAGTCAAAGTTTAATTTAAAGAAATACGTCTAAATATAAATTTTTAAATCTATACATGACTATGTTTTGTATTTTTAACTATATTTTGCCTATAAATAAAATAAAAAATTAATTTTTTATACAAAATTTATGTCTAGTTTTTTAACTATCAATTCAAAAATTCTTAAACCCGAGCTGAACCCGGAACCAAACGCGGGTTCAAAAATATTTCCCCGCCGAACCCGAACCAAACCCGAACCGAACCTACTATTTTTACCGAACCCGAACCAGAACCGAACCTACTATTTTTACCGAACCGAACCCGTGCAAAAATTTAGCTGGGTTTACATCCCTGGTTTTGGGATTAAAATGAATGACTACGATTAATTTAATTTCTAAAAATTAATTATATTACTAAATATTATTTACACGCTTTAAAAAAGTTGGCAGATATTTTTTTTTCTATGAAAATTAATGTTTGTTGTAATCGTGATGTTACTGTGTCTACCATGAATAGCATATCCTGGTAGTAATGCCATGATATGGGATGATCACGGGCTGACCCACTTTTGAGCATGTTCACTTTGAGAGGTTCTCTGAAGCTATTTATTTCGATTTAAGCGAGATTAGTAAAATGGTATATAAATAATATATATCCCAATAGCGTCACTAGGAGGAGGCTCACAGGTGCTCGAGCCCCCTGAAATATGTAAAGAGCCCCCTCAACATATTGATTTTTTTTAAATCAAAACAAATTTGATAATGTTAGATAAAAAGAAAATGATAATTTTGATAATGTTAGCTAAAAAAAAAAGGTAATTTTGGATAATGTTATCCAAAAAAGGGTTTCTTGACTTTCCTGAGATTGTAGAGGCTAGTGACGCCCTTGGTTCTAATATATTCTCTAATATTTTTATGCATATTAATCCAATAATATTTAAATTGTAATAGAATAAATTATACAATATTATGTTTTATAATATCAAAATATATGAAAGATTATAGTGTTTTATATTTTCATACACCATTTTTTTTAAATTTTATGCAAATATTAATATTTAAAAAATATAATGAGGTATTTTAAAAAAATCTAAAATAAGAAGGCCTTGTGTGAGTTCAAATGATAGTTTTACTAAGGCTAGTTAATTGATCCATAAAAAATAATCGTATTTAAATCACGAACTTTCACAAAATCGAATAGAAATCCTGGATCGACTATTTTTTAAGAAAAGGATCGCAATCTCTATCACGATATAAAATAAATTAAATATAGGGTAAATTAATTGAAATAGAAAAGAATAATATAACATTATTAATATATTTATAAACAAAATTAGCTAATAAATAATACAAAAAATTTGAAATTATAGCCATTCAAACATCCACGTTTTTCATTAAGAGCATATTTAATTTTAAACAAGCCCTCCACAGGAGCGCTTGATGAAGGTGTTGTGTTATATATATTTTATTATATCAGTATTCAAAATATTAATTAAATCATCATTTAAATATAAAACAAAATAAAATAAAATAAAATAAAATAAAATAAAATAAGAAGAAATAGCTTATTTTGCGAAGAATTTTTCCCAAAGAGTATCAGTTTTATCAATACAATCATTTGAATAAGCATCTGCAGATGATTGATCCTGTTCCAAATGGGTAATTAACCTTTTTTTGTTAATAGATTAGGCGGCAGATTGATATAAGGCTAATTAAGCGTACATTTTAGGTATTGCCTAATATGCTACTGCCCTCACACAGTGAAGGAAAGCTATATTTTAAGAAATAATAATTAACATTATTATAAATTCGCTGAGGAAAAGGATATATGTTCTCATTTATATCTGTTACTACAATTATCAATATTTACATCAAGATCAATAATAAAAATTAGTAAATAGTAATTTATTTTATTTTTAATTTAATATATAAAACTTGTAGGTTGTAAATCAAATTCGTAAATGTTGTC